GTTTTTGGGGTGTCCGGTGTGTCCCCAGTTCCCATTCCCGTTTTTGGGGTCCCTTTGGGGGTTTTTGGGGTCTCAGGGCTGGTTCCCAGACCCCATTCCTGTTTTTGGGGTCCCTTTTTGGGGTTTTGGGTCTCTCGGCCGTGTCTTGTCCCTGATCCCGCTTTGGGGTCCCTTTCTGAGTTTTTGGGGTGTCCGGAGTGTCCCCAGTTCCCATTCCCGTTTTTGGGGTCCCTTTGGGGGTTTTTGGGGTCTCAGGGCTGGTTCCCAGACCCCATTCCTGTTTTTGGGGTCCCTTTTTGGGGTTTTGGGTCTCTCGGCCGTGTCTTGTCCCTGATCCCGCTTTGGGGTCCCTTTCTGAGTTTTTGGGGTGTCCGGAGTGTCCCCAGTTCCCATTCCCGTTTTTGGGGTCCCTTTGGGGGTTTTTGGGGTCTCAGGGCTGGTTCCCAGACCCCATTCCTGTTTTTGGGGTCCCTTTTTGGGGTTTTGGGTCTCTCGGCCGTGTCTTGTCCCTGATCCCGCTTTGGGGTCCCTTTCTGAGTTTTTGGGGTGTCCGGAGTGTCCCCAGTTCCCATTCCCGTTTTTGGGGTCCCTTTGGGGGTTTTTGGGGTGTCCGGGGTGTCCCCAGTTCCCGTCACTGTTTTGGGGGTCCCTTTTGGGGTTTTTGGGGTCTCGGGGCTGGTTCCCAGACCCCGTTCCCGTTTTTGGGGTCCCTTTTGGGGTTTTGGGTCTCTCGGGCGTGTCCTGTCCCTGATCCCGCTTTGGGGTCCCTTTCTGAGTTTTTGGGGTGTCCGGAGTGTCCCCAGTTCCCGTTCCCGTTTTTGGGGTCCCTTTGGGGTCTCAGGGCCAGGTCCCAAATCCCTTTTGGGGTTTTTGGGGTGTCCGGGGTGTCCCCAGTTCCCATTCCCGTTTTTGGGGTCCATTTGGGGGTTTTTGGGGTCTCAGGGCTGGTTCCCAGACCCCGTTCCCGTTTTTGGGGTCCCTTTTGGGGTCCCTTTCTGAGTTTTTGGGGTGTCCGGAGTGTCCCCAGCCCCCGCTCCGGTTTTTGGGGTCCCTGTGGGGTTTTTGGGGTGTCCCGAGTGCGCCCAGCCCCCGCTCCGGTTTTTGGGGTCCCTTTGGGGTTTTTGGGGTGTCCGGAGTGCGCCCCGTCCCCGTCCCGGTTTTTGGGGTCCCTTTGGCCTTCCCGGGTGTCCCCAAATCCCCCTCGGGGTCTCCCCCGCTCCCCGCCCCCCTCGCGCGGGTTTTTGGGGGGAGGGGCCGCGCCCCGGCCCCGCCCCCCGCTCCGGGGGGGGCTGGGGGCGGATTT